GGTCAGTCATAGTAATTTAGGTCACTTATTTCAATTTCAAATATGCTGAAGTATTTTGGGAAATATTATAATTACATTTTCGTATATTTTTATGAGAAAAAGCAGAGACCATTATTACATTTAAAACATTTTCAGATGAAGCAACTGAGTATCTATTAACCCCAATATAAACGATAAACAAATACAGCAAATTTTTTCGACTTTATAGAAAATATTAATTCGACACTCGGAAAAGTCATTATTTAAAGAAAAAAACGGTTCAACACAGCCTTGGAATTTGGAAGGAAACAAGAATATAAGACTTAGACAAAGAAATAAAGATTATGAGAATAGAAATATGAAATATACAAGGAATCGCAACAAAAAATTGCCAGAAATCGAAATACTATTCACATAATATTCACTTGTAGTCTTAAGTTAAACAAAAACATGATCAAGGAAAGGAAATTATAGAGTATTATATAGCGGCAACAATGTAAAATTTTAGCAGTAAATTCTTACCCGGGTCATTTTTATTATGTATGCTTCGCCCATGTAAATAAGGGAAAAATAAGATAAATTTCCCCGTAACAATATAAATTGGTGCGATTTACGAGTGTGTAGTGAGACAAGTTCATTGAATAGTTTAAAACATCGGTAAACTTATCAATATTTTGCTGGTCTATATATATTTACGTTCTTAGAAAGGATGGTAATGAGATAAATATGATATTTTAGTTTATTTCTTCCAAAATGTGCATAGGCGTAGTGTGTTTTATTTCTTGGGAATAATATATTTTGATATAAGGTTGAATGCTCGAATAAATGAACTTGGATCAAATAAAAGGCAAATATCGAGCACAGTTAAATTAATTTAATCTTGCCCAAGTACTTTCGCTCCGTAGAGCACCTTCAGGGGCATTTCGTCAATTGCGGCCTATCCGACAAAAATAAAATGTTATAAACATAAAATGGTACATCATACTACACTCCACAAGGACAAACAAACATTTTAAAATTAAAAAAAAATAGGCGAAGCTACATTGTGTACAGAAGCCGGAGAAAGAATAATATATTTATGAAATATACGTTATCATTAACTTTTAAATGGTTTAGAGGTAAGTAAAGTAAATTTGAGGAAAGTTTATTCTTTATATAGTATTAATCCATTAACGGCCGCTCAATATCCAAAGAGAAATTTGATAATTAATTTATTAGATTGGATTAAAAACACATAAATTAAAAGTAATTTACAACCAAAAATATGTTTCTTTCTCATTTTCAAGGAAAACAGTACAATTTTTAATAAAGGAACATATTGTATCTTAAATGTAAATTAAATTTTATAGTGAACATTTTTGAAACATTCGGGGTGTAGATGTATTCTACACCTTTTACATAAATAAATAATATTACTTTTGGACATCCTACATTCTTGTACTATCGTTTGTCACTAAGTTTGACACTTATGTAGTGGTTTCTTCACTATTATAAATTATAAATATAAATATATGTCGGCTCATGCTTTCTCTTATAATGTCCACTTCTTTTTCCCCATCCTTTGATCAATGCATATCAACTTTAAGCAGAGTGTAAAGCAGATAATATACATATGCTAATAATTTTTAATAAACCTATGTTATTCATTTTAAAATCGTGACGGTTATTTTAGGATTCATAAATATTTGCTCTCTATTATTTTTTATAAAAAAAGTCCAAACATGGACAAAATCATAAAAACCCAAACAGCAACGGAAAGACAAATATTGCACATAAGACTAATGGATAAAAAGAGAAACGAGTAAATAAGAGAGAAAACAAAAGTGCGGGATGTTAGACAAGAAGTTGCAAAATTGAAATGGAGATTTGCCTGACACACTATAAGACAAAAAGAAGACCGATGGAACAAAATTCTTATAAGTTGGAGACCGTGGGAATATAAACGAAGCAGAGGAAGGCCCCAAATGAGATGGGCAGATGATATCAAGAAGCACGTGGGCTCTAGGTGGATGACTGTAGCGACAGACAGAGAAGAATGGAAAAGGATTGGGGAGGCCTATGTCCAAAGATGGACCGAAGAAGGCTAATTAGATAGATAGATAGATAGATAGATAGAACATATGCGATAAATTTGAAAAACATTAGAGATAGTCGATTATCATTATCGACTATCATGATAACACCACGTTAGAATTATTTGAAAACTGGTTTTCAACGAAATATACCACCAAACAGTGTAATTGTGATGGACAATGCCAGCTACCACAGTCGTAAGCTGAATAAAGTTCCATGTTCTAATGACACCAAACTTAGAATCCAGGATTATATGCTGAAAAATAATTACTTGAAACTTTAAAATCATTTTCCATCAGAATACAATAATTTTGCGGTAGTTTGGCGGAAGAAATGGGTCATAAAGTATTAAGACTTCCTTCTTACTATTGCATGTTCAATCCAATTGAACACATACGGCATGAACTAAAAGCATCGGTAAGGATAAGTAATGTTTTGCCCACCCTAAATTCATCTGTGGTTCATCTAATTTTATTATAAATGGAGAAACTAGCCAATGACTGCTGGAAAAATAGTGTTGCCCATGTTCTAAAAATGAAAAAATCTTATATAAATACAGATAGGTTGCTCAAAGAAACAATTATTATAGATCTAGATAACGACAGTGATACTGAAACTGACTTGTCCATGTAATTTTTTTAAATGTAAGTACTTTTTCAATTGTATTTATAAATGGTAAACTTTCTATGTATACGTAATTTATGTAAATATTTTTTAATCAGTTGATAACTGTATAAAACCAGCTTTTAGACACACACACATCACATATATATATATATATATATATATATATATATATATATATATATATATATATATATATATACACTAATATAGCTAAATACAATAACATAAATAGCAAACAACTTTTTTCTAAAATTAAAGACCCAGTACCAACCTTATATAGGAGTAATGTGGTATATGAAATACCGTGTCTAGGATGTGAAAAAAGCTACATTGGCCATACATCGCAGTGGCTAAAACAACGTATCACACAGCATAAAAGTGATTGCCGCTTAGGAAAAAATACTTGTGCAGTAGTCGAGCATTATAAAAACACCGGTCATCTGTTAGACTACAACAATGCTCGTATTTTGGCACAGACTGAAAGTTACAAAAGTAGGTTATTTTTAGAGATGTACCACATCAACAAAAATAAACAAACTTTAAATTATAAAACAGACAGGGAGCAAATAATCAACAGATATTGCAATATATTGAACAAAATTTAAAACTCACTCACCTTAATGATTATTCATACTAACTAGTCTTAATGATTAATTAAAGAAATAATATTCCTCTAATGTTTTCTTACATTGTTAGTTTTTGCATTTGAAATAAATTTAAGTTGTTTCCATCTTATTTATTGTTAACGAACGTGCTCAAATATATTTATATTTTAACATGCATTTTATTGGATATACATATACATCAACAAAAATGTTATTTTAATGTCAATTTTATTTATGTGTGAAATCTTTTAATTTCTGTAAGTATTGTAAATCTAAGGTTACGTCAGTTTTTTGAAATGTTTGTTTTTTACAGTTACTTCCGATGAAGCTATTAAATAAATGGCGAAATATTGAGCTTTAGAAAAAACAAAGATTTTTATTTAATATAGACAACTTACCCGATATTTCCAACATACTTATAAATTGTTTTTTGGTCGAAATAATCACGTTAAATATATATATATATATATATATATATATATATATATATATATATACATATATATATATATATATATATATATATTATATATATATATATATATATATATATATAAATATTGAGTTTAGATTTAAATTTTTTAATCAATAATAGAGAAATACCTTGAAAATAATTAAAAAGCAAGAAACAGAAGAAACTTCACTAATATTTTAATTTTTGGTGTGCTTTTACCAATATTGCTTCTAGTAACTGTAAACTGGATAGTGCATAATGTTGAAAAATAAATGTCTGCACTATCGTAAAGTAAACATAAATCATTGCAACATTTGAAATTCACGTATAATGGAGGTCAAAATTACATCAAACACACACATTGCATCACATATCAAACAAAAACTTTATGTACATACATACCGAAAATTATGTATTATGCATGTAAATATAAACAATATTCAGACAATCCAAATATTTGGACAAATTAGGAAGCAACTTTCTTAGTCAATCCGACTGATAATAACAAAGTGTTTCTGAACTAAGTTTTCCTGTTTCCAATTTCAAATCAAGTATTTATTTAGGCTAAATAACTTGTTATTGTTTAGCAAGTAAGAAAATTTGGATGAAAAATGTAAATTATAGTTAATTACCTAATTTTTATATAAAAATTATGTTTATCTTTCTGTTTAACCCTCTGTTCATCGGATGACCATTCTGAAACGCTTTCGGTCGGGTGTGGTCTGTGAGGACCAAAATGAAATACCTCCTCCCGAGCAACAGCATACGTTTTATTTCCTTTCGCTATGGTGTACACAATCGTGTACATGGATTTTAAACCTTAAGAAATAAGAGAACTTCTATATGTATTCCGCAAAAATCATGTGTACATGATCAGGTACACTTCTTTTAATATAATTTGAAGCCACTGGCTCCATCTATGAAAAATAGGTTTAAATAATCATTACCAACCAACATGGCGACCAACAGAAGTTGTGGATCAGGTGAGTACCTTTCATTTATATATTTTTTATTTTTATACAGTTACGTTGTTGCTGTTTTATTATACTGCATGGTTTTATGAATGTTTACGGAATATTTCTTGATAGTAATCTCATCGTTATGTGGTAAAGGTTTTTGAAAAAACTGTATAAAACATTATGTACACGATCGTGTACAATTGTACTGGAAGGTAAATTTCAGTTAGTTGTTTGTGTACACAATCGTGCACAACTGTATTCAGAGGCTATTTTGGATTCGAATCAAATGTGTGTTGATTACAGGCAAAAGTTGCAACAAAATTTTTCTTTGCAGCCTTAAGAAACTCAAAAGCATCGATTTTTATGCGAGACGTGAGAGTTGACAAATATGTGAAAAAATTGATGCAGACATTAGACAACGGGGACTTTTCGGATCTCTCCGATTTGTCCGAAGGTGAAGCTGGTGATGAAGATCTATTAGAAGAAGCAGAAAATGTGGAAAGCCGCATTGAAGACATAGTTGCTGCAATGGATCCACAAGATGACAATAATGAAGATGAGCTTGAGAAGATGAGCTTCGAGGAGATGAAATATTCGACGACGTAGGTGTAATAGAAGAAGATACTATCAACAGAAATGATGAAAATACTTTTGCGTATTTAACGACTAAAAACCAAATTCAATGGACAGAAAGACAAACTGCCCCACTAGCAATGCAAAATTGGACCAAACCTCAAGATGAACATAGCGATACAGAAGTTAAGTTGCCTATTGAATATTTCTCAAGATATATCCCGGCAGCTTTATTTGAAAATGTTGCAGAGAAAACAAATCTGTATGCCCAGCAATGTAACGATTTTAATTTTGCACACACGAATTCAAAAGAAATTGAGATCCTTATAGGTTTACACATCTTAATGGGATGTTTGAAACTGCCTAGAATACATTTATATTGGGATAATGCTATAGGTATTGAAAGACTGCTCAGAGTATTCAGAACATGAGCAGAAGTTATTTGTCGATGACAAATTTTATATGTCCTCGTTAATATATCTAAAACAGAATAACATTTATGGTACCGAAACTGCCAGACTGAATAAATTTGGAAAACCACCTTTATCAGTGAAAAAGAGTTTTCCAAGAAACCCAGGGGTTACATGGAACAGCTCTGTAGTAAAGACGGTGACGTTATTTTAGTCAAATGGTTTGATAACAGAATAGTCAATATGGCATCTAACTTTGTTGGTATTGGAGATAAAGATATCGTTAAAAGATGGGACAAAATAAAAAAAACATTTGTAGATGTTGAAAGACAGAGGTAATTCAAGGCCTTATAATTCTTGATGGGCGGTAGTAGCATAACATGGATTTTTTATTAGGCTTATTCGATATCTATCAGATCAAAGAAATGGGACCCTTCTTCTTTTCTTCAAGTAATAGATATGGGGGGCACCCCCAAAATCTGAACAGTTGGATTGAAGTACAAAAGAAGACTATAAAAGACTAGGTGTTGACAGCAACGAAAATTCTCGATCTTTTTACATTTTAAAGGATGTTGGAAATTCCCTTGGTACTTGCTGGTACAATGTATGGTTAAAGGACAAAGAAACAGGGGTCGACCAAGTTTTACAAGAGTAACTTTAGAAACAATTCAAACACACTAAAAGGAGTTGATTTGAAACTCAATCCCATTGACACAGTTCGATTAGATAATGTAGTTATTTGCCTTTTCACAGTGGCGAGCAAGGGGTTGGGCGCTGCAACAAAAACACTGTAAAGGGCGTTCAACATTTCGGTACCGCAAGTGTAATGTTTATTTGTGTCTAGAAAAGGAGAGGAACTGCTTTTTGACCCTTTCCACTCGAAATGACTTTGTATTTGTGTTAGATTTTTTGCGATTCATATAATTTTTAGTATTTTAATCTTATATATAAGCTAAATATAAACAAATAATTTATTAATTGTTTCGGTTTTATTTTTAAAACTTTTACATAAGAAATACTACATTTTTACCAGTTTAGCCCAACTACTGTTTGGTATAAATGTACCACAAACGTGTACAACAAAATTTTAAATCTGTGGGGGATTTTTTTTGTTTTTTTTGTATAAATTATTATTTATACCTATTTAACTAAAATTCAACCACAAAAAATTTTTTCTCTGTCTAATAATATTTCAGTAGCGAAAGCGTTAAGTTGCATTAGATAAATTTTAAAAATGTTTACAATTTCAACGCATATTTTTAAAATTTTTGAACTGCGACTAAATAAAAAAAAAAAACAACAAAAAAACATTTAAAACTTTAATTTGAAACAAACAACGTACTAAAAAACCATAATATAAATTAAAAATTAAATCCAAAAACTATGACACAATCTTTACGGTCGTGTCAAAATTGGTGGTCAAATTTTCAAGCAATCTTTGCTTGCCATTATGTGGTCCATACATAGTCAGGATTTGCAAAACTTTGCAAAAAAGCGAGTTTTGCGTCTTTTGCAATATTTACATTTCCGCTCTTACCTGGGCTGGGGCTCTGGTACAACGTCGACCTCAATGCTGAAAGTCTCAAGGCCGAAGCACGCACAGATTTTGTACAAATGAGTGTCAACTGCTCTCGTCGCCTACTCTACTGTACCAATTCCATACCAATTGTGGGAATTATAAACCAGTAATTATTTCGTGCTTTTTTTCTGATCACCAATATTCTTCATCAAAACGATCATCTCTATGCTCCAGTGGAAACAGCAATCACATTTTTCCTTTCTTCAGGTATATTTTATACGGCAGTCATATCGTTGTTAAATGGCAAAAAAATTAAGAATATACCTGCCTATTTTAATTTGCGTTATTTCTGCATGTAATTTCATCTGTTGGCTCTAATTGTATCAGTTACGGTGAGTCGGTGTCTCTTAGTAGTTTCTTGGCAATTACATTTCTGTGAACCAACGGTCTATGGTAATGTTCTTTCTGAACACGCTAATGTAATCATATTCTTTTCAGTTACTGCCTAGCAGTAGAATTTTAAACTTTTATATGGACCTTTCGGGTTGAATATCATAGATTTTAATGTGCGAGGTGAAGAAAGCATTATCGACTGAAAACTTTGTAAACCCATATTGTTAGATTTGTTGTAAGTATACATTTTAAATTTTAAAACTGCTCTACTCTAACGCAATGTAACACTTTGTCAAAGATCACAAACTCTCTCAATGAGCATTCTTCTTACAATTTCTTTAGAATCTTTATTCAACGATAGTACGAAATTACTGCTCAATTTGTCAGAATACACTTAACAGATACACTTACAAGTAAATATATAAACCTTCGTTTTGCATTGTAGCAGGAATTATCTCATATCTCATACCTTGACGACTTGTACTCTTTCAGATTTGTTCTTAATGCTAATGAAGTCAAACCAAAATTACATTTAATACCAATCGGTGTTCGAATTTATTCTGAGACAGTGGTCTATTTCAGCCTTTTCTTGATATCGATCGGTAATTTTTTTTATGTATAAAATTTGTATCCACTAGAAAAAACTAAGTTCTGATAGTGGCTGTTATACCATATATTACAAAAAATGTTCTGTTCAAACCTTTATAAAAGGTATTATTAAATATGATATATACCTTTTATAAAGGATTTGGAAAGAAATTTTTTTGTTAACTTCGTGTTTTAATACTATAATATATCAATGCAGATACAAACATGTGCGTCCAGTATTTATGGGAAGATAATGATGTCGCTCTTCACCCAACAACCCCAGGCAATAGGCCACTATGTTTTCGTTGCGTGTTCTAATATTTCTAGTTGGGACAAATTTTCTCCATGTAGTTCCGTCTTCTCCAAAAAAATATAAGCCTCTGTCATGACCCATTTGTTCCTCATTTTCTTCATTCTCGACTTCATTCTTATTTAGAATTTGCTCATCTTCATTTTTCTGCTCGGTGTCTATATCATGATCACTGATCCCTAGCAAATGTGGATCTGCGGTCGAATCGTCGTCAAAGACGTCTATTTCACTGTCTGTGACAGTTTCCTCATACAGATTCATTAGCCTCTTTATTTCCACTTTATAAGGATCCATTTTACAATGCTAAAATATAATATTTTTACAAAATTAATCAGATTAGTAAATTATGCAGCTACTTCGTACCTTTAAAATGTTTGTCCAACCGAATCTCGATATGAAATTATTCTTATATTGATATTTTACAAAAATCTATAAATACTTTTCATATACTTTACTATTTTCTTTGTGAGATTTCGAGATTTCAATCGTAAACCACTTCAAACAAGTTTTAATCCATAACTGACACACAGACCACATACAAAGAATTTTTATCGGTGAACTGACGTATTTTCTCGAAACAACCGAATAATCAAGTTCACAAAAATGCACAGGGTTACCAAGGAAATCAAGATTGCAAGAAAAATGCAACTAAGAAGCAAACAAATTTTGGTTTTTTGTTACTTGGTAAAAAAATTCTTCTAATAAATTAATTTAATCTGACTCATTTATATCGACTATTCAGACATACATTATACATTTTAAAGTAGACGACTTTAAAATGATATTGCCAATATTGTTGAGTTGCGTTCCTGGAACGACTTTACTTGTCAGATAGTTCATTCGATTACATGAAATCAACTATATATAAGAATATAGAAAGAATATTCATCAGAAAAAATCACAGTTTGTAATTCTTCTTTAAAAAGACAAACACATGCCATGATGCCAGTAAAACTCTCCTGTTACTTATTCATTTTTCTTTCTTTTTATTTAAAAAACATAAATGATCCTCTATACGTTACTGACCTACTAATACTGGTATTTTCCTTTTAATAACTTTCTTTTTTAATATTGGTAACCAGATCCTACTACATTCTACCGAGGAATTTACGACACAATTGGACGCTTCTTTGATTGTCTTTTTTTACTATCCGTTTCTTTTATGACTATATTTGAATTATTCCGTTAAACTCTATATTCATTATCCCATGCGTGTTTACGTATTTGAGGTCACATCTCTATTTTTAATATAAGATTAATGTTCACTTATTCTAACATTTAATGGCTTTGATGTTTCACCTAAATAAAACTGATAGCATTTACAAGGTATTTTATAAATACAATTATTTGTCCTTTCTTGTTCATTGCTAGGTTTGGTTTTAGACAAAATAGATCTCAATGTGTTTGTTGTTTTTGAATGTTGTTAAAATGTTAAATTTATTTCTTATCCTTTTAAGTTTTCCTGATAATCCTTTTATGTATGTTATTGTTTATAACCAATGTGCTTTGCCTGTACAAACTTATGGAGCAGAGACTTTAACACTCACGCAAAAATCTGCGAATAAACTCAGAGTTACACAACGAGCCATGGAACGTGCAATGCTGACCGTGAGCCTTCGAGACCACATAACAAACCAACAAATTAGGCAAAGATCAGGAGTTCAAGACGTCATCGAAAGAACAACGACGCTTAAGTGGAACTGGGCAGGGCACTTAGCCAGAACACAAGATCGACGGTGGAGAAGACGTATTATGGACTGTAGGCCCAGAAACTAGAAAAGAAGCTGAGGACGACCAGCCACTAGATGGACCG